TTACTTTTTTATAACCTTGAGTCAATGATGTGTGGGATCTGGCCAATTCCTGAGACACCCGCCAGTCATCTTTCCTATTACACAGATGGGAGAGTGCTTGGCTTCTTCTGAAGAAAACACTGATATTTTTAGCAGCCACTGTCTCCTTCACCCTAACTCCAAAGGTGCTTTCTTTTTGCCAAAGCTGCCTAATTTTTACATCTTTTGGCTCTGTTTTTTTTTTTTTCTCCTGATTTTTACTTTAAATCTGGTTCAAAGCAGCCAGCAGTACTCATACAACAGCCTGAATGTACGGCTGCCTTGAAATTTTCTCCACCAGATTAATTAGTCTTCTGCCTTTCAATTCAGCCTCATACAAAGTCTCAGGATATAGACAAAATGAAGATAAATTCCTTGCCAGAGTATCACATATGGGAGTATAGCTCAGGAGTAGAGTGTTTGACTGCAGAGTATCGCACATATGGCCTTGTGTGTGTGTGTCTGTCTGTCTGTCTGTCTGTCTGTTTTGTTTGTGTGTTTGTCTGAGACAGGGTCTCACTATGCAGTTAAAGCTTGAACTCTCTATGTACCTCAGACTGGCCTCAAACCCTCAGTCCTCCTGCACCAGCCTCCCAGATGCTGAGGTCACAGGTATGCACCACCACACCTGCCTTTCATTTTTTAAGAGTCCTCATTCCCATCTGAAACCTCATGAGCCTGGCCTTTACTACCCACATTCCTATCAGCCTCCTGGTCTTCTGAGCTCAGGCCAGAGTCTTTCATCAAGTTCTGCTCATAGCATTCTAAGGCTTCTCCAGCCTGCATCCCCAAACCTTTCCAAACTCCTCTCACAAACTAGTTCCAACAGCTTCCAAACCACATAGTCAGGCATAGTCACAGCAACGACACCACTGGTGGTACCAGCTTTCTGTATTAGTCACTTTTTTGTCCCTGGAACAAACTGCTCAACACGCACAGCTGGATATTCAGAAGGAAAAATTAATTTTGGCTTACGGTTTTAGGGGGCTCAGTCCATATGTAGTTGGCTGGCTCCAAGGCAGAATTGCATGGCAGGAGAACACAGCAGGAGAAAACACTTAACTTATGGCGGCCGGAAGTAGAGAGAGAAGGGAGGAACCAGGGATACAAATAATCCTTTCAGGTCACACTTCCAGTGACACACCCATTCCCAACAGGTCCCGTATCCTAATAGCACATTTAGCTTTAAACTCTTCAAACTCATCAATGGACCAGTCCACTGATGAGTATAGTGACCCCATGGTCCAGTCACCTTCCAAGCCCTACCTTTGAACACATGAGACTTTGGGGGAACAATTTAGGTGTAAGCCATCCCAGCCACTATGAACATCTGTGTATAGGTTTCTGTGTGGACATGTTCTAAATTCTCATACGTTTATACCTAAGAGTGGAATTGTTGGGTCATATGTTAACTATATGTTTAACTTTCTAAGAAATTGCCACACTGCTAATGCCAAAATGATGGCAGCATTTCACAACCCCAAAGGGTTTTCAAATTTTTCTACATCCTTACAGTCACTTCTTTAGGGCCAGAGATACAGCTCAGCAGCACAGCGCCTGCCTGGTAAGCACGAGGTCATGAGTTCGATTCCCAGTACCACAAAAACAAAAAATAATCACTTTTTTATTTTTTTTATTTTTTGTGTATGTTACTGGTGATTGAACTCAAAACCTTCACACTGAGCTACATCTTGAGCCCTTTTTTGTTTTTTATTTTGAGATAGGGTCTTGCTAAATCACCAAGTTGCCCAGCCTGGGCTCAAACTTGCAGTACCCCTGCCTCAGCCTCCTGGAGTGTTGTGATGACAAGAGTGTGCCACCATGCCACCATGACCAGCTTATTACCTTTTTTATTATGGCTACTGAAATGAAGGCAGAGTGGTATATCACAGTTTGATTTGCATTTTCCTAATGAATAATAACGATGAGCGACTCTTTGTGTGCTTACTGGCAGTTTCCATATCTTTGTGTACAAATGTCTATTTAGATCACTTCTCCTTTTAAAAACTGGATTATTTCTTTTATTGTTGTTGGGATGTAATAGTTATTTATGCATTCCAAAATGTAGATCTTTATCAGATATATAATGGTCAGTGTTTTCTCCTGTACTGTGTGTTGTTTTTCACGTGTTGGATAGTGTCCTTTATGTACGAGCTTTTAATTCGATGTTCTAATTTATCTACTTTTTCTTTTGTTCCTTGGTTTGGGCATCATATTTTAGAAACAACTGCCTAATCCAAGGTCATAAAGATTTACATGCCTGTTTTCTTGTAAGCGTTTTACAGTTCAGCTCTAACATTCAGGTCTTTGGTCCATTTTGATTTATCTTTATATATGGTGTGGGGGATCTAAATTCATTCTTTTCTGTTTGTTTGTTTGTTTGTTTGTTTTTGGTTTTTTCCAGTACCAGGAATCGAACTCACAACCTTGCACTTCCCAGGCAGGCGTTGTGCTGCTGAGCTAAATCCCCAGCCCCAAAATTCATTCTTTTCTGTGTAACTATCCATTTGTCTCCACACTCTTTTTGAGATTATTCTTTTCACCATAGAACTGACACCCTTGTCAAAGAAATCAATTAATCATAGATGCAAGGGATTCTTGACTCTCTATTTTATTCCAATTATCTACATATCTGTCCTTATGCCAGTATCACACTGCTCTAGGTATTGTAGCTTTGTGGTAAGTCTTTAAATTGAGAAGTGTGAGGCTTCCAACTTCATTTTTCAAGATTATTTTGCAATTACTGAAGTCCCTTGTATTTGCATATGAACATGCATAGGAACTTTAGAATCAACCTGTCAATTTATGCAACAAAAAGCTGGAATTTTAATGAAGAAATACGTTCAGTCTATAAATGAATATGGTGAGTACACTATTGCCGTCTTAATATTACACCTTCAAATCCATGGATGATGTCCTATTTATTTGGTCTTTTTTCGTTTTATTCTACAAAGTTTTCTAATTTTGAATGTGCATGTCTTACACTAATTTATTACATTTATTTCCAGATCTTTTTTTTCTTTTATTTTCTTTCTCTCTATCTCTCTTTCTTTCTCTCCATTACTACAAATTTGACCCAGGCCCTTCACATGGAGCTACATTCCCAGTGCTTTTTATTTTTTTATTTTAAGACAGGTTTCTCACTAAGTCACTCAGATGCCCAGGCTAGGTTCAAATCTGCAATCCTCCTGCATTATCCTCCCAGAGTTGTTGGAATTACAGGCATGAACCACATACCCAGCAGTGCGGGGTTCTTTTTGGTGCTAGTATAAATGGAATTGTTTTAAACCAGGCATGGTGGTGCATGCCTGTAATCCTAGCACTCAGAAGGCTGAGGCAGGAGGATCTCCATAAGTTTGAGGCCAGCCAGGGCTACATAGGGAGTTTAAGCCCAGCCTGAACTACATGGCGAGACCCTGTCTCAAATTAAATTAAATTAAATTAAATTAAATTAAATTAAATTAACCTAGTAATTTTACAGACTCTTTAGGATTTTCTTTATACAAGACCCTGTGACCTACAAATAGATAGTCTTTTTCCTTTCTAACCACAGTGCCATTTTGTTTCTCACCTGGTTTCTCTGGCTAGACTTTCCAACACAGTGAAGAAATGTGGAGAGAGTTCACTGAATGCCTGGGATCTCTATGTCTCCCAGCTTTGCTCAGGGGCTCTGGGTTGAGATACAGCTTCCACACTCAGCCAGGCAATTTATAGCTCTGCCTCAGCCTTCACTTCTGATTGCTCAGGGTCTCAGAGCCTCCCAGGGCTAAGAGTTCAGGACCTTCTCGGGTCTTCCCGGACACGCGCACAGACCCCCAGGCATACACGAGCACTTTTCCAAGTCCCCCACAGGCTTCTCATCACCCCGCTTTCCCCTTGAAGCTTTTCTGACCAACCTATTATTTTGCCCCAACTGTCTGAGGCAGCAATTATCACTGGTTGCTTTCAACAAATGCCCCCCAAGAAAACTGTGCATGGTGGTGCTTGCCTGTAATCCCAGCGCTCAAGGGAGGCTGAGGCAAAAGGATCCAAGTTACAGCCCTGGCTGGAGCAGCATAGAGAGTCCAAGGCCAGCCTGAGCTACATAGCGAGACCCTGTCTCAACGCCAAGAAAGAAAGCGGTCCAGATAGCAGACTGTCCGCACTGCGTCAGCCCTAGTCAGGTCCCAACCGTGGGACCAGGATTTGGGTGAGCCACAGGACAGGACAAAGGACAGCGATGCCCTGGACATAGGTTTTGAAGAAGCCAACTCTAGACTTCTCCATCTGCCAGATGGATGCTTTTTACTCTGCTTTCAGTCTGCTCAATTTCAAGGCTACGATGAGCTGAAAAGGTTAGCAAAGGAATCAGCCACATGAAGACCCCACAAAGCCCCGAGGGAGATGGAAGTGCCTGTCCATAGAGAAATGGTACGGGAGGTTCAGAGCAGCGTTACTTACAATAACCAAAAGGTAAAAACAAGGCCGGTAGCACAGGTACTAATAGCACAGGTAGATTTGTTCTTACTGTAGATCTTAGCAACTTCAGCATACAACTCTTTTTCTCTTTTTCTTCTTAAATTGAGACCTTTCACCTTTTCCCCTATGGAACACTCTCATATGGAACAGCGTCTCACCGGCATATCCAAATCCCCGGTGTCTCTACCCTTGTGCCTTGGGGTCATTATTAGGTAAAATAGGGGTCTTGAACATGAGCCCCGTGGCACTGGAGCATTCACCTTGACAACCCAGAAGCCTGCGAAGAAGCAGAGGGGGATGGCGCACACCGTGTGACATACTGAACACGGGCAGGATTCATTCCGGCCTGCATGGAGCCGGACGAGAGATTTCATCACGCTGCTCAGAATGTAGGCAATTTTAAACAGAGGGACTATTTCTGGAATTTTCCATCAGCATTTTATGACTGTGGTTGGCCACAGGCAACAAAAGGGAAGCCGGGAAAGCGAAGCCACGGGGGAGGAGCCTGGCTGCGCTCCGCTCACCTGCGTCTTCCTCCGCCTCTCCCTCCAGGTGTCCTACGTGAAAGCCATTGACATCTGGATGGCGGTTTGCCTGCTCTTCGTGTTCTCAGCCCTGCTGGAGTACGCCGCGGTCAACTTCGTGTCTCGGCAGCACAAGGAGCTGCTCCGATTCAGGAGGAAGCGGCGACATCACAAGGTAGGCCTGGGGGCCCCCGCCCGCGGGACGCGGCCGCGTGGGTGGAAGTGTCCTGAGCTGCCTTGCCTTGCGGTGCTTGCTTCCTGTGACCCTCACTTGCACAAGACAGGTGAGAACTGGGGGTGAAAGCGTTAGAGACCTTCTTCCCCTCCCATCCATAATGACCCAGTCGAGCGTGTGCAGGAGTCACTCCCACAACCACGCCAGCAACGCTACAGAAATTACCAGCTTACACCTAAAGGCAGAACAAATGAGGCAAATGCTGATAGATCAAAAGATTCAGGCAGGGGTGGGTGTGTTGGGCAGAAGGGGAAGGTGTTATTATTTGTTTTCTGCAAGCCTGCTTAGAGGGCTGGGTTCCAGAAGGGAACTGCACCAGGAGACGTGAGATCTCAAAATAGAATGTCCAGGTTCCAAGCCTTTTTTTTTTTTTCTGCTTCCAAGAAAGGAGCAAAAGCCAGAGCCTCCCCGCATGGGCTCTCTCACCGAAGGAGGGATTGAAGGTCAGGGTATTCAGCAGGTCATCCCTGCAAAGTCCCCACTGTCTGTCAATTCAGAAGCTGTGGTCCCATCAAAAAGTGCCACCATGGAGTGTGAGCCTGTTGGAACAAGCCATTCCCTGGTTCTTTTGTTTTGTTTTGTGGAGACAGGGTCTTACTAAATAGCACAGGCTGGGCTTGAATTTGTGATCTTCCTGCCTCAGCCTCCCTAGTGCTGGGAGTACAGGCATGTGCCACCAGACCTGGTGTATCTCAGCAACTTCCCCAAGACACCTTTCTCCCTGGGATGAAAGGACCCGCTTTCCTCTGTAATCTCAGCGTCACATCACTTTTCCCTTAGCTCTCTGAGTATCAACCCACGTGAATCTCACACACAGCAGTGCAGTCTCACACACAGCAGTGCAGACGCCGTGTCCTTTTTCCCGGCTGGCTGTCCCTGCGGCCGCTGCTCAGTGCTGACTCGTTTCGCAGGGCCCGGCTAAAACTTCTCTCCCTGATGCCCTAGTGAAGGTCCTTCGTTACGGTTTTTCATCGAGCACATCCATGCAGGGGCCTTAGGAGGTTCTCACCCCTGAGGCAGGTCCCAGCCTGGTGCCGCATCTGCCCGGAGGACGGGTTCCGATCCACACGCCCAGAGCGGGGCGTGCACACAGGTGCTGTGCGGCTAGTGGAGGCCGTGTTCTACCTCAGCTTGACTTCCAGCCTTCTTAACATGAACCCTGATTTACAGGTATGTGTTCAGGCCCCTGAATTAGGAGCTCCGTAGCTCAGAGTTGTAACCGGCGCCTGACACAGCGCCTGGCACGCACTGCACGGGCACGGGGGCTGCCAGCACAGGAACAAGGGCTGAGCAAGCGGGTGAGGAAAGACGAGCCTGCCCTGCAATCTTTCCAGCAAGCGTCTGGGGCGACCGCAGACTCACACTGTGACCTGTCGGGTCTCATGGCCTAGCTGTGACACACCGATGTCCCGCAGCTGCAGAGGGACCTGTTTAAAAGAGGGGTCTTGGGGCTGGGGATTTAGCTCAGCGGCAAAGCGCCTGTCTGGCAAGCGCAAGGTCGTGAGTTCGGTTCCCGGTACCGGAGAAAAACCAAAAAAAA